ATACTAAAAAAATTAATATATTAATAATTAAAAATTATATTAGTATATAAAAAAATTATGGCTAGGGGCATAATTCTAATATAAAAAAGTTATATTAATATATAATAATATATATTAAAAATTCTATTAGTAATATAATAATAATTTTTTTATATACTAATATATTAATTTTTTTAGTATATACTGATAGAAAGTATTTATAAAAAAATAATATTAGTATTTAGTATTAAATTAATAGTATAAAATTATGTAATAGGAAAAATCTATATTAGTATAAATTATTAATATATATGAATGTATTATCTTATAACGTAAAATTTATTGATATTACGTTAGAAGTTAGAATTGATTATATAATAAATTACATATTACTATTATAATTTTGAGAGAAGTTATAAATCATTATTTTGTAAAATTATTAACATACATCGTAACATATTGCAGGTGCCACTCGAATATTTTGGAGGAGTCGGCGAAGATTACCAATCTTGTTTTGCTACAGATGAGCTATTTGATAGTCATGAGGAAGCTATTGAATGGGCAAAAGACATTGCAATGATATGGAATTTCGAATTGGTCATCTCGAGACACGAAAAAGATGGAATGGTTCGGACGTTGAGGTGTCATCGAGGGGAACGTTACAGATGCAAGGCAGGAAAACTAGGAAATCTTGTGAATGCTGTTTTGAGACGTTCGAAGACTAAATTTATTGGCTGCCCTTTTCTGATAAAAGTCAAATTTGAAGCAAATTCCAAAAAATGGAGTACCTGGCTTCCTTTAGAAGACGAGAAGGGATTTCATAACCATACTTTGGCTGTGCATCCCGAAGGTCATCGACAGATGAGCCGACTCAGCGATTCATCCAAAGAGATTGTCCGTGATATGACTGATGCTCAGGCAAGACCGGGAGTAATTTTGGCTACAATTCAGGAGAAAAACCCTGTGGACAACGCTACTTGTCGACAAGTGTATAACTATAGAGGTCAATTGCGAAAAGACCGTCTGGAGGGTAGAGATGTTGTTGGCCAGCTTCTGCATTTGGCTAGGGGCAGCAACTACATAGTTTACACAGATGTTGACCCGGACACACAAGAGTTGACACGTGTGTTCATGTCGCATCCAGGAGCAGCCAGTCTATTCCGGACATATTACTGGTATGTCGGCATAGATTCCACGTACAAAACCAACAGGTATGTTACATTACGTTATAAATAGTAATATAATGTGAATCTTAAAATAGTATGTTTGAGTAAGTTTTTTGATTCTATGTTTTTTCTTCTTGTTGCTTTCATTTGCACAGGTACCACATGCCGTTGGTTGAGATGGTTGGAATGACGCCGTGCAACAAGAATTTCTTAATTGCTTATGCAATTATCAAGGACGAGACCGAGTACAGCTATGACTGGGTCCTACAGCGGTTGAGACTTCTGATAGGGCCTGATGTACATCCTACAGTCATTGTCAGTGACATGGAGTTGGGGTTGATTACTTCTATTCAGAGGAATTTTCCGACGACGCCCCACTTACTCTGCACGTGGCACATCAACAAGGATGTGGCAGACAGGGTCTATCGATTAACGTCGACAAACACAAATTACACGAGTATTATTATAGTATGTACTGTTCTCCAGCATTTTAGCTAATGCATTCCTGGTAAGTTGTCGTTATTATATATTTAACTAGTACGTACCCCGTGCGATGCACGGGAGAGAGATATTAAATGAATTATTTTCACAGGCTCTGTCCGTTTAAGTCTGAGAAGGGTTATTATCCATTTTCTACCTATTTTAATCACTGTTAAGTCTCGCTTAAGTCTGAAAAGAGTTGTCATATATTTTCCACCTCTTTTAATTACCGTTAAGTCTAAAAAAATAGGATTGTAATCTATTTTTCACATCTTTTAATCAGCATTGTTTTATTAGTCAGAACATTACACGTAAGCATGTTAAGGTTAACTTGTAAAATAATTAATATATTATCTCACTGACACATTTATACTAATATAAATTTAATTTTATTATATATATTTATTCCTTGATATAAGAGAAAATAACAATTTTACTTATTCTTATTCCCTATATAATAGTTAAATATTAAACTCTGTTGCCATATAATATCATTATTATTTATAAAGTTATACAAGTTACACGTTTTCTTGTTCTTTTTATTTTATGTAATGAAATATATTTAATGCACGTTGGAATTATTTATATAAATAATCAAACGTGCATTAATAATATGCTCCTTTAAGAATTAATTGAGAGGATAATATATCTTTGGGATTTTGACTTATAATGTTTAAATGAACTTAGCAGATTAGGTTTTATTATTTAATAGTTGGGAGAATTTATTGGGAAATAGTTTACTATACTTTTTTTATTTTTATTTTATTTTTTATGTTTATTTCTTAAACATTCTAATACAACCATAGAATTTAATTACTCTGTAGATAATTATTCTTTTGTCTTAACCTTTTTTATTTGAATATTTCTTCACCTTATGATTTTCTAGTATATTCTTTATCAAGTAATAACAAAATCTTCAAATTTGTTATCACTTTTTCAAACTTACAAAGGAAATGTGTGAAAGGAAATTTGAATTCCCGACTATTTCTTGGAAACTGTAAATGAAACACGACATCAACATAATATCCAACATAGGAGAAAAAAACAATCATATGAAACCTATAGAAAGCAACATGTTATAAAGAACATAACTAAGTTCACTTAAAGAATTAATATGCTTCTTTAAAAATTAATTAAGCGGATATGCTATTTTTAGGATTTTTAAGTGAATTTAGTTTTGTTTAAGTATTTATGTGTTGGTAGAATTTATTTTTATTTATTTAAGTGAATTTACCTTTTATCTTTATTATTTAAAGATTCATGAAGTACCTACCATTGAATCTAATTATTCTCTAGATAACTATTCTGTAGATGTAAATTGATGAAATGGAAATTTTTATGCATTATTTGTTTTTTCTGCTGTATGTGTAGATTGCAATGTTGGGATCTCCAGACCGCGTACTATTTAAGACATTTTCTACCTATGAATTTGATTTGTCTAGCAACTTCTTGCCCTACCAAGTTCTCTTAGCTTTTATTAGAAAGGATATGGGACAAATGTCGAATGACGGTACCGTACTCACTGCGGTGCAGCCAAAAAATTTTGAGAACAAATTCTTAAGCATTATATTGACGCATGAAGGCAAAGAGCCGATTGCTATTATCTTCAGAAGATCCGATCTCTATTTTATTGATGTAAACTGTTAGACCGCATGGAGTTGCGAGATTTCATGAACCAAACAAATCATTTAGTTGATGACTCAATTTTGCTCGATCTAGTATTTAGCTATGGAGGTTTGAGTCAAAGCCCAACAAGGTACCCTAATAGATATTATTTAGTGGAAGCCATGGATAGGTTGAATAGATATACCCCAATCCCAACACGGATAGAAAAATGTGGGACATTTTTTTATCTTTCATCACTATATTTTCGGAGGCACTGAGGTTCAGCGTGATCGAGTATGAGGTACAACCCGCTATAAACTTGAATACTAACTATTTGCCCCAGGTCCCTAAATGGGTTGACGATTTGGTTCTGAGTTGGGAAAAATTGTCCAAATTAATAGTGAAGTATAAGAAAGAGAATTTTAACTTTGAGGTACCCGAGCTTGTTAACGCACAAACACTTGAAGTACAAAACTGATCTCATCCATACTTTTGCTACACTCCGTATTATATATATGGGTAAACTGAAAAATTGGAAAACACATGTGGTGATTAATTATATAAAAGTTATAATTAATTATTTATATACGTGTAAATATTCGTTTGTTTGTTGTCTTGGTAAAGCCAACAATAATGACCGGTAACAAATAGAAACGGTGAATTTATAATTTGTTTCATGATATTTGCAAAATATTTTTTATCTTCAACTTAAAATATAATATTTTATAATTACAATAAATCCTTCGTTCTTCCTTTCTTTCTTTTTTAAATATTAGGAGTATTAGTGGGTAGAAAGGGAGGGAAGAGTCAAGTGCAAGGCTTGTGACTTGGAGGAATAAAAAATTTGAATAAGACTTTGTGCAAAGACTAACATATTATTCTCTCTAATTATGAAAGCTATAGCATAAATGATTGTTAATGACAATGGAAATTATGGGATGAAAAACATAAATGAATGTATTAAATATTACCTCTGATTGGTACTAGCATGCAATGAAACTTTAAAGGAATATTTTCATCTTATTTGTATAAAATGTTTCATGATTGGAAGAGTTACTAAAAACTAAAAAAGAACGTATTGAAGATGTGAAAGGAAAGGGTAGCTACTATTTGATAAAAGACAAATAAAATATTTAAAATAAGTTCTTAAAACTATCAATAATCTTGCCTATGATTTTTCAAACCTTCTTCAATGTATAACTTTTCTCTATTTGTGAAACCTTGTTTTAGGAGGACTTGGTTTGACCCTCTCCTTCTAGTTTGTCAGATGACGTTTAGCATGGCAGCCAAGAATGAATTTGAGGCAAGGTTCTTTTATTGTAGTGTTGTATTATGTTAAAGGACAACCAAGAATGAATTTGAGGCTGAGTTCTTTTATTGTAGTTTGTATTGTTGTATTATGTTAAAAGGACAATCAAGATTGAATTTGGCAGAGTTCTTTTATTGTTGTGTTGTATTATGTTAATGGAGGCTCTTGTTGAGGTTGTAAAGATTATTATGCTTTGTGTTCATGCCAGGAAAAAAAAAAATGTCTTGTTCTTTCTTGCTTACCAATCTCGTACATAAGTACATATGTTGTAATTAGGGCTGTTAACGAACAAAATGTTAGCAAACAAAAAGCTCATTTGAGCTCAATAGCTTCGTTTATTAATCGAGTCGAGTTCGAACAAAAAATGAGGTTCGTTTTATGATCTAACGAACACAAGCTTGTTTTTTTCCGAAACGATAGATATGATATTATAACCAAAAAGCACAAATGTGCATAAGCAGCCCATAGCTGAATAAGATAGCAACCAACTAAAAACTGAGAGGACAGGTCAGCAGACCGCCTAGAATCTCAACTAGCCAAGCTAAAATAAAAACTGACTCAAAACACTACAGACAACTAAACAAACTAAGATCGCTCCCCACAGAAGAATAGGATCGGTCCCCACGGGGTAATCAACACAGGGACCAACGGCCCAGACCAAAAAAACCAACATAAAACACTCAGGCGAAGAGCCCAGACCAAAAACACTTCACTAAAACAGACTCAAGCAACAACAATCAACAACAATAAAAACAAACAGGCCCTTCCCCAGCAATCGAAAGAGCTCGACCCGCAGCGAAACGATCGACACAAAAAGGTTCCAGATCCAAGCAGCGGCTACCGAAACTGCGAATTGCCCATACAGTAGAACCAACCGAACCGAACACAAGCTCTTTAAACAAACATATATATATTATATAGGGGTTGGTTCAAATAAAAATTAGTCCTAGTGCGGAAACCGTGAAAATCATATTTTATGTTATTTTTTATTGTGTATGATGTTATTTTTAATATCACATTGTGCTATCATTTTCACAAATGCTAATACAAATGGTGTTGCTATTTTTAATAAAATACATCAATGTTAAAAATATCACTAAAACACAATCAATCATAGCACTACGACGGTTCTCACAGACCTCACACTAGGACTTGGTTCTCATTTGAACCATATCATATATATATATGTGTGTGTTTTTTTTTTTTTAATTTCAAGTTCTTACGATCATATATTTCGAGTTAATCAAGCATATTAAAAAATTTGTATCCTAAATAATTTGAACACGACAAACTTTAACAAACAATTAAATGAACAAACTCGAATACAACTTTTGCTCGAAAAAAAAAAACGTACCAACACGAACACTGTTCAACCATAAACAAACAAGATCGGAATGCCATTGGTTCAATTACAACACTAGTGTCTTAACCTTTTTTATTTGGTTATTTATTCACCTTTAGTTTAATTAGGCTTTTCTCGCATATTTTTTATCTAGCAATAACAAAATCCTCATATTTAATTATTTACAGCTATTCTCCGAACAAAGTGGAAATTTACTTGCAAAAAAAATCTGCAATCCCACTCTTTATGAGGTAATCTCTCTCACATTCCCTAGTGAGCCACCATTTTTTTTTTTAAATTCACATGAAACTCATCTGAGTTTCTTCTTCATTTTCACTAAGTCAAAGCATGCCATTAAACTCAAAATTCAACAAATAAAGGCAATCCAAACTCATAATCTTAGCATGGTTATCACACCAAACAATGCACAGCATGCTCAAAGATACACAAGGCAAAGCAAGGGTCAAAACCAACCAGAGCTTCTAAAATTAACCAAAGATCACAAACCCTAGTGAGCCACCATCTCATTCAAACATAGTCAATGTTATTTCACTCTTAATCTCGTATTTGTGTCAAATCACCAAAATCGTCCATAGTACCACCACACCATGGTGAGTTGTCAACCATTCCCTTCAAAGGAAATTTGTATCCCCAACAATTTTTCAAAAACTTTAAATGAGAACATGACGTCACAAAATATGACTTCCAACATTGCAGTAAAAATCCAAATATAACCTATAGTAACAGAAGATTGGAGAGAACAATCATGCATTACAGAAACCAGGGAATGGGTGTTCATAGTACCCATAAGTAAATGGACGAAAATCTTTGTCACTCTCCCACAAAAGGACCAACCATTTAATCGAACTGCTTTTAACACCTCCGAACTTGAAATGTGATTTATTTATCTGCAAAAGAAGAAGAAGAAGATAATCATGCAAATATTAAGTCTTGCATCATAAAAGTCAATATGTCACTACTATCAAGTAATGCATCATAATTACCAGTGTCAGGCATACCTGCTCATACATGTTCTGAAGCTCATCATCTTTGAACCTAGTAGCCAACGCTGATTTCAGGCCCTACATATTTTCATTGTATGTAAAGGTAAAGGTAGATATTAATATCACACGTCCAAGCCAAAAAGTTCCTATATGTAAAGACAGTAGGGAAAAATGATTCTTGGGATTCTCACCTCAATAGAGTAAGGAACATCAATGTTGACAATTCTAGTCACCCGATAAACTTTCCTGGCAGCTTCATTTTTATTAATCTCTTCATGCAACTCGGTGCAAAACCATTGACTACTCCAGTACCCCATTGCGATGCCCAAGATATCCCTTTACGAGAAAGAAAAATAAGTATACAAATAAAAACACCTGCATGACACGCAAAATGCACTTGTCTATCCAGTTACACGAGTTTCCTGTATTCTTTTGCTCTTATGCCTCTCTTAAGTTGCGCGGTTAAAATCCCGGTTCATTTTTAAAATAAAAAAACGAAGGCTTGTTGCTATTGAGCAGTACAACATGACTTCATGTTTGTGTCCGCTATCCGTTAACTATCTAAATCTGTTCAAACTTTTTAAAATCTAAACAAAATTAAGTGGATTACAAAAGCAAAGAACATAGCACATGTACAATAATTTCGACATGAGGGATTCAAAACCAGAAATAGTGGGATGTGGTACATAAATTTCAGTGACGTATTGATACGCTAGTTAAAAAAGTGAGGTATTGATACGCTAGTTAAAAAAGTGAGGTATTGATACGCTAGTTAAAAATCCCTTCCCACAGGCCTCACAGCGTCTCTACTGGGTTTTTTCAAGGGAATACCCAAACAAAATACAAACCTAGTTCAATCAAGGAAGAGAGTTACTACTTAAATCTAAACTCACAGGTGCAAATAATAATGCTTTGATATTTCAAATAAGTAGGGAGAATTGGAGGAGTTTCATACGTTGGGTTCCTCGTGCGACAATAGACACTTGCATAACAACAATTTGAAGCATGTAAATAGTACCATAGTACTGTAGTATAGTAATCAATCAATATATCAACTATACAGTGCAAGGTATCAATCATCACCTCATATCATATCTGTCTAGTGTCTTCTGTAAAATGAACTGCAATGCGTTGTCTCTCCTTAGAAATTCCACTCGAACTTGGTTAGTTACATCTAGTGAGTAAGCATCTACTAAAGAGATCAGGGAAGGATCCTACAAAATATAAGAATGATATATTCATTCAAAGTGATAGGCTGCCCAGTGCAAAACGAAGAATAATATTTAATGGCACGGAATACCTCCAGATGTGCCTCAACAAATGCTTGTTGAAATGTTTTATCTTTTATCAGGTTCACCACTAGCGTAGCGCAAGTCTCTGCATATCTCTCATCATCTTCAACAGCAAACTTGAGATGAATGAAAATATTTTTAGCTGCCTCCTTAATCCCTGGGTTTTTTTCTACTTTGCTAGACAGAAACCCAAGTCGCTGCGGAAAAGAAAAAAGAAAACAAACTAAATTAAATGAGAAAAGCAACACCCTAGTTGTTTTGTTCTGCCCTCATCAAACAAAATAATTTGGCAAAGATGGACATTACCTGTGTCAGAGAATAGATGACGGAGGAACTTGGGCTTGCATCATTCTCTACCTGCAAATAGGTCATCAATCCAATCAGAAAGTGAAATAACTACTCAACAATAAACAATCAACAAAACATAAACCACTCAACTGCTAATTCATGATATTTTATGCAAAACAAACATACGAACGATGTCCTAGTATACTATTACTTGAATGATAAGTATCCAAATCAGCCACCTTAAGCAGTATCATCAAATAGTAAGTTAGATAATAAACACGGCTAGTCCTACCACTCTCGACTTTTTCATCTCTGCAGTACCTAATGCCTCGAAGCTGGCTCCCCTCTTAACTCCAGGACACGGGGAAGAATCACAACACAGCGTCGGAGTTAAATCCAACTGAAAATTCATTTAACTAGCTGGGTTTAGAACTACTAATTAAAATGAAATCACACGAGGTAAGAAAATTACACAGCCAAACAACATCATTAAGCAATCAACACTTTTCCACTGACGAAAGACACATAGAGCAGAAAATAGATACAAAATCAAAAGCATCCGGAGAAGAACGTACCACAGACATCTTTCACTGCGGTTGAACACGCAAAAGCAACAAGGCGACACCAACATGAGGCAAAACCGATCAAACTCAGGTGAAAAATATTCAAACGGGTAAAAATAAATAAAAAACTTCAATCGCAAAACAGGAGAACACAGAATGCATACCTTGAGTAGGACCGGCAAATTTCCAGCGACGAAGGCGAAACGTTTGATGGAGAAGAAGGTGGAATCCCAATGGTAGTTGACGGAACAAATACGCGATGCCCTGAACTTTGAGAAAAAAGGAAAATATATATGTGTGTATATATATAAGCGTCTCGATTTCAAGGCGGTGGTGGCATGTTTGGGCCTAACCCCGCGGTTTAACCCGATTGCTGACAAACCCAGTGTGTGCACGGGACGGGCAAAAAAGAAGTCCACATTTAAAAAGCCGAGATATAGAAGGTGGATTCCCACTTGAAAAAGGAAAGAATCCAAAAGGGCTGCTGCCTGTATTCATTTTGAGAAATTTACCTAGCATACCTTGACAAGGTTTTTAAAGGGTGTTGCTATTTATTGCTCCAAATTAATACTTGTTGCTTCAAAAAATAATTTAATAATAGTTGATATTATATTTTTTGTCCTAATATATTTTACCTATTTTTACCCAAATTACTATTTTTATCTTTTTTTTTTCCCCGAAACGATAGATATTATTATAAATCAAAAGTGCATAAATGTGCAAATACAAGCAGCTCATAGTTGATTAAGAACATCCAACAACTGAAAAGTGGGTGGACAGGTCAGAATACTGCCTAGAATCTCGACTACAACGCTACAATAAAGCTCACAACAAAACTAACTAGCTACACAAACAACTAAAACAACTAAAAAAAAGACTCCAACAGGGTAATACCCGAGTGTCGGATCCCAACAGGATAATAAGGTGACACTCGGGTTCACAGGGGCTAACGGCCCAGACCAAAAACACAATCCTAAACTACACATATAACAGAAACACAGATCAACCAAAACTAAAACAAAAACTAAGAACTAAAATGAGGACACAGCCTCCCCCGCCAGATACATCTAGATTTACGGCAGATAAACCAACTCCAAAGACAGCTCCAGAGCACGGAAACAACCGCCCACCACTGCATAAGGCCTAGCAAGACGAGTACCCGCACCCCAGGACCAACTGAAGAGTTGGCCCGCACTCCAATCACGTGAATAGGCAAACACGGCTCAGCTTCACCGAGTCAGCCCACCTGAAACAGCAGCCACTCAAACCAGCCCGAAGCGGCAGAACACAAACAGGCAGTCGAGCACTAACCGTAAGCAGCACACTGACCCCAACAGAACTACAACCCCCTACCGTGACCCCCCATAACTAGCTCGCCGAGAAATAACCGAGAGGTCCCTCCGATCGCAGACGAAATAGAAAACCGAGACAAAAGCATCAATACCGAGGGCGAACCTCCAATTGACACAATCGGGTGTCGAACCGGAAGAGGCCTCTGCCAATCGCCACTTCCCCGACGAAAAAGCACAGTCCTGACCGGCAGCAAGAAGGGTGAGCAGCTTGAGTAAGCAGCATCCTCAGCCAAAGCCGATTGCGGTGGACCCAGCCTCGTCCATGAACCAGCACCGCACCCCGACCATCGCCGACCAACAATGGAGGAGAAGCTTCTCCATTGGCCGACACGCGAAAACAGACCAAGGCTTCAGCAGATGAGACGAGGGCTGCACCACCATGGAAGAGCGATGGAGGCCGTCCACCGACGGACCCGGACGTCCAGCGAGGGAGATTCAACCGAACGTCCACCGACACCAGTCTCCTTCTTCTTCACTTTTACCTTAATCCACATATTCATCAATCTCCTTCTTCCTCTTCCTTAAAAATTAACTCACCAATCTCTATATTATTTTTCATTAATCCACATGTCTAGTAATCCAACATCATCGAGAACACATGCAAATGAGTTAAATTGTGTTTTTCCCTTTACATTGATTTTAATTCACAAATGGATCTCTTGATTTTTGAGTGTTTGAGTTATTTTAGGACTTAGATAACTAAACTCTCTTCATATATATTGCATTAAACCAATGTGATGGGTTTATTAGTATGGTAGAATGAGTAAAGAGATAATAGATGTAAGTTAGAGTTTAATTTCGTTCATTAAACGTCCCAGGTAAAAGCTCGAATGTGGTTTAAATGTCTGGTAGCTAAGCTTACATAAGACTTAAACGTTTTATTGTCAAGCTACCTGACCCATGGAACGTCTAACTTGAAAGCCCGACTATGAAGAGAAACGTCCAGTTTGTAAGAAGCCACACTTAAGAAACGTAAATACTGAAAGATTGGAAGTCTTTGAAACGTCTAAACCTAAAACTTATATGTAGTACAAACGTCCCGTTAGTAAGTGGAAAAACTTAAGAAACGTAAATATTGAAAGCTTGGAAGCCCCATAAACGTCTAAACCTGAAGCTTATATGCATTTCAGACGTCCAGTTGTTATGTGGCAACACTTAAGTAACGTAAATACTGAAAGCTTGGAAACCTCTGAAACGTTTAAACCGAAAGCTTATATGCAGTTCAAACGTCTGAACCAAACGCTTGTTTTTCTGCAACTAAATTTTATGGTTTTATTTGTTTATCACCTATATGATATATGATTATTATTATTATTAGTTATTTTTATGTAATGTGATAATAATATTGTGTAATTTAACTATTTACAGAATGAATTTGAAGATTTTATGGATTATTTTGAAGACGGACAAATACATGCAAGTTATAGTGAAGCTCTGCTGTATTGCTACTTTCTTGTTATATACTGAGGGTATAAGCTGAAAATAACTTCAAATCATTTAGCACATAAAATTGAAAAAGAACGATTAGATATAAACAGACTTTAAATTTTAGTTTTTTATTTTTTTTCGAAACGACAGATATTATTATAAATCAAAAGCGCACAAATGTGCAAATACAAGCAGCTCCTAGCTGAATGAGAAAAGTGGGAGGACAGTCTATGACCGCCTAGATCCGGCCCCAACGCGGAAATACAAACTGACAAAAACAACACTAACACACGAATACACTAAGAAATTAAAAGGACCCCAACGGAGTAATACCCGAGTATCTGCTCCCAACAGGAGAATAAGTTGACACTCAGGCTCACAGAGGTCAACAACCCAGACAAAAAACACAGCAAAACAACACACAAAATCACAAATCTATGAACAAAACAAAACAACACAAATGAAACAAGCCCCTCCTAAGCAGCAACACCGATCCAAACCATTGGAAACCAGTCAACCACAGATCCCAAAGCTAGAAGCATCAACCCCGAAACTGCCTAAACCAGTCGGGTGCCTAACGGAGACAAACCCCTAACTCCGGAACCACAACAGGCCGACTCGCACCACGGCCACAACACCCAAGTGCCCCGAGCAGGCAAAAGGATGCCGCAACCCCAGCCCCGACCCCAAAATCCTCTGGCAGCTACCCAACAACCACCGTCCCGCCGCAACAACACTCCGACCAGCCTCACTGGAGGAAGAACTGACGCAGCAGCCCCAATTGACCCGAAAAACGAGTACAAGGAGGGATGGCTTTGAGTAACTTCACCGCCCCGGTCGCCCAGCAAACAAGTCGCCGTGCAATTAAGTCGTGTCCCGCCCCAGGAACCGCACAACGGCTCCACCACCACACGATCGAGCAACCCCCAACCGGAATTGACGAACAGACGCCGGAAGGAAGAAACCCAGCCGCAGAAGACGAGGGCCTGAGCCATGGAAATCGGGCAGTGGAGCGGAAAGAAGGGGCGAGAACCAAAAAACAGGGGGCCAGCAACCGCCGGCTAAGCTCGATGCCTGCGGAGGAGAGTGGACAACTTCAAATCGAAAGAGAAAGTCGACGGCAAAGAGGGTTTTTCTGAGGGAGGAAGTTTTTTTAATATAGTTTTTTCTCAAAATAATATTTATTTAACTTATAATATATACCATTTTAATTATAATAAAGAATAAGACTAAGAAAAATATCGACAAATTTAGGTAAGTATAAATAAAAAAAGGAAAATATTGGTGGGTCGGCTTGGACCCGGCCCGCCAAGCCAAAGGCCTAGAACCGGTTAGGTCAAACTATGAGCTCGGTTCTGGGCCTGTTGACCACAGGCCGCTTCAAGACCGATTCAGTCAGTTCGAGTCAAATTGGCGGGCTGGGCCGGCCTGTGGCCACGACTAGTACTCTCATATAAATAGGAACCTGCATACATTACTTCTACTTTGAGGTTCATTCTCTTGGATCAACAGTCTATGAGGTCCATTCACAACTATCATAATTATCTATAAATTAATAAGATATTAATTGAATTTCATAACTAAACCCTAAACCCCTATTTTAAATATTTTTTTAAACAGGAAAAAATCAATTAGAGATCAAGTATTATTAAGCATGAAATTTAAGTGAATCTTAATTGTTCTTACTATATTTTATTTACTATATCTAAAGTTGACATAAAATATATTAATAACACACATCTAATGTGTTGCCCCTTTGGCTTGAGATATAAATTATTAAAAACCGAGCGCAAAACCTAAAAATTAGCAGTTCAAGATTTTAGATAATAGTAGAGAAGAGAGGAAGATATTGTGAATGGTGTGAAAAAAAGTCTATTTTTTGTGGGGGAGGTANCGGCCCGATGGGTCAGGTGGGTCAGCCGGATCATGACCATTGGATCTCAACAATCAAGATGATCCAAAATTTGACCATTGGCTAACTGTGGAACTAGTAGGCTGGGTCGAAACCGGTCCCGGGCCATTGAACCGAATTAAAAAATAAATAAATGAATAAACTGACAGTTGGATCTCCATCGGTCAAAAGCTATCAATGGCCATATTAGCGGCTGCCAACAGTCCAATATCGGGCCACGGACCGGCCCAACACGGTCCACAAATTAAAAAAATTAAAATAAAAAGAAAAATATTGTAGGCCGTCTCGTGGGTTGGCCCAGGTCAAAAAATTTTATACATGAGGCACAGAACTAGCACAGTCACACTACGGGCTCAGTTCTGGGCCAGTTGACCACAGGCCGGTTCAGAGCCGATTCGATCAATTCGGCTCGAAATGGCGGGCTGGGCCATCCCATCGCCATGACTAGTACTCTGAAACCGTAAGATATAAACAAGAACGTGCATACAGTACCTCTACTTTGATTCTCTAGAAAGTGAGGTTCACTTTGCTGGATCAATAGTCTTAGTGAGGTCCATTCACAGCTATCATAATTATCTATAAACCAATAAGATATTAATTATATTTCATAACTAAATCTTGACATTGGATCTCAACGGTGGAACCGAAAAAAAATTGACAGTTTGATCTTCAACAGTAAAAAACTTTCAATTAAATTAACGGGCTGCCAACGATCCAATACCAGGCTATGGGCCGGCTTGACCCGGTCAATAGATTCAAAAAAAAGAAAAGAAAAATATAG